AGGCTTGGCATAAACTTCAAGGTTCATGGCAATGTAAAGTCAAGGTGGCTTGAGGTTTAAGCTTTGAACAAAAGTAAAAAAAATAAAAAAAAACTCAATCTTGAAGATGATTCATAAGTAAGCTATAAATATTCAACAAAGAGTAAAAGAAATACTTAAAATTTGTACCTGTATAAGAAAATAAAAGCAAACCAATTAAAACACAGAAATAAAATTAATGTAGGTGATAATTAAAAAAATAGTTATTAAAGAAAAAGAAGGGATATACATTTAAACGAAACTAAAAAAATCAAATTAAAAAAATTAAAATAAAGGCCAAGAAAAAAAAAAAAAAAACTTAAAAAAAATGAAAATAAAGTACTTAAAATCAAGAGAAAAAAAGAAAAATTATTTTAAAAAGCTTAAATCCTGTATACCCAAACTAGCTTGAATTTGAAACCTAAAATCTTAAACCTTTTTATATGCAACTTTAAAAGTATAGTTTTCAAGTCAATCTTAGTGTTCGGTGTGTGCCCCATGGGTGAAAGAGGCATATGCCTCACTTAGCCTGGCAAATTCTAAGCTTTGAAGTGTTTATTGTGGTCCTTATGGTGAGGTGTGCCTCAAGACAAGCAATTCAAATGCTTATTTAAAGAAGGGTCGAAGAGAATTGATGTTGTCCCTCTAAATATGAGTTTTAGAGATGAAAGATTGATTTTTGAATATTGTTACATCCTGATGGTATGATATTTTTTACATGGGAAGAATAATATTCATATCCTTGTTAGTGAGGAGTGGGCCAATAAAAATTTCATTTCATAGCTTTTGAGTCTAATTTGCTTCTTTGATAAAGTGGAATAAAAATAGCATTGTTTCGAGGAAATGGTGGAGGTGAGCCTACCATTTATGCTATACTTGTGTTAAAGTTGGACAAGGGATTTTTAATTTTGGATTTTTTTCGGCATATTTGTAGTAATGAGGATTAAATTTCCCTAATAATATTTGGAAAGTTATTAGTGATCATATTTAGTTGAGCAAACTCACGATGTTATTTTTGCTCTCACTTTTGTTGAGCTGTATGGATACAAAAAATTTGGTGAACAATTCTTTATTGGAGGATATTTTCCAAATTATAACATGAAAATATTCTCCCGCAGTGTCAATTTTGAGAACTTGAACTTAGGTTTTGAATTTGGTTTGTATAAAGGAACGTGATTTTTTGAATTATAGAGTTAGTTCAATAGAAAAGCCCGAGTGATTTTAGTGTAGTCATCAACAAAATATATATACTACCTAGCATCTGAAATATTTTTTACACAATTTTGGCCTAGATATCACTACGGATAGTTGCAAGGGTTGGGAAGTCCTATAAAAATAATTAGGTTAGGTAGTTCAAGTGTTTTTAGATAATTGACAAGTTTTACATCGAAATACTTCACAAGTTGTGTTGCTGGAAAGAATGGAGAATTTTTGTTTTTTTTTAACATGAAATTGGATGATCATGACAAAGCTGCCAGTGCCATAGCTTCATTGTCTTTTAATTAGAGAAAAGATTGTATCAAGCATTTTTCTGTTAGCCTTTCATAAAATAGGTGGTGGAAACCTACATTTTTTTTCGTGTTGTCACTTTTCATTCTCGAATCCCTTTCTTGTAATTCTTAGTGTACGAAGAAAATTAATTTTATAGTTCATATCCTTAATGGTATTGCTAATCATAATAAATTGTAGGGATGCTTAGGTACCAGGAGGCAGGAGAACTGAGTTAAGAACTTCAGAGTTAAAAGTCATTGCTAGTTCTAATATCAGTTATTAAGGTTGTTGAAGCATCAACAGTTATAGTTGTATGGTCGTTTAAACGCGGTTGAAGGATCTGAAGTAATGAGGCATTCCCTATCATTTGATTAGAGGCTTTAGAGTTGACAATCCAAGATTGTGGATTTAGGCATTCCCTATCATATGATTAGAGGCTTTAGAGTTGACAATCCAAGATTGTGGATTTTTTTTCCTAGACATTGAAGACATTGAAGACCACATCTTTTTGAGCAATCACATTAATTTTGTTTTTTTATTACAAAAGATTTTAATTTGGTTGGGATAATTGGCGACTTGAAAAAGATTTCTTGGATATCAATTTTGGCATGGGATCTTGATTCATGGCGGAAGCGGTGCCTAAGGATGACTTGGAATTCTTAGAGGGTGTGGATGATAGTGAAGCATTATAATAGAGAAGTACAAAAAATAGAAAGTGTGGCTCTAACACCAGGTTGAAAAATATGAGAGAACAATTATACAAATTATTCTCATTCCAATAGGCGGCCAAAGTTTTGAGTTCATAATTAGCCCAAAAAAGGATGAAGAAAAAACAGAAATGAAACTAACGTTATTTTTTATAATTAAATTGGGAATGAATCTAGTGAATAACCCCTTATTAAATAGTGGACAGCTCATGGCTAGGAAGCATACTGCAGGCGGAGGAGAGATTGGGGCGTTGATTGCTGGATAACACATGTTACATCAGCATATGATAGGTGAGCTGGCAGGAGGAGATGCCGCCAGAGATGGGCTAGTAGCAGGTCACTGGCGTGGCCTCGCTTAAGGAATTTTACAGAAGATTGCACTAAAATGGCCGAGTTAAATCTATTATTGTTTTTCAGCATTTTAACTTCTTGGTCTAGAGATATATTTAAAAAAAATGATATCTACATTCGGTGAGTGAAGTTTATAACTAACAATATCTTCAGTATTTCTTTTTTCCACTAAAATGTTGTGTAATTTTAGATATCTTGTGAGGATTATTTTGCTGTAGCGATTGAAGTCTGAATGTTCTTACTGGTGGCTTGCAGTTTCCTTTGTTATCCAAGAGTGCTCTTCTTGAAAAACTGATTGCTGAGAAGTCTGGTGAAGAAGAGAGCTGTATCATAAAGCTTCCAGATATTCCTGGTGGTTCGAAGGCATTTGAGCTAATTGCCAAGTTTTGCTATGGTATCAAAATAGAACTTACTGCTTTGAATGTAGCATACACCCGGTGTGCCGCTGAGTATATGCAAATGACTGAAGAGATTGCTGAGAGGAATTTAATCTATGAGTCCGACGTATTTCTCAATCAAGTCGTTCTTCGTGGCTGGAATGATTCACTAAGAGCTCTCCAAACTTGTGATGATCTTCTCCCTTGTGCTGAAGATCTTAATATAGTGACAAGATGCATTGACTCATTAGCCATGAAGGCTTGCATGGACCCTGATCTAATTGGCCGGCCGACGATGGAGCATGGCTCCATGAAAAGCCCCTGTGGAAGCGTTCTTTGGAATGGGATAAGTACTGGAGCAAGACCCAGAAGTTATAGCTCAGATTGGTGGTATGAGGATGTTGCATCTCTGAGTCTTCCCTTTTATAAGCGGTTTATATCAGTGATGGCGTCCCGAGGTATCAGAGAAGAGATTATTGCTGGTTCAATAGCCTCCTATGCAAAAAGGTACCTCCCTGGATTAAACAAAAGGCACAATGCAGCACCAATGACTTGTACATCTGTACTGTCTGAGGATGAACAAAGAGTTCTTCTTGAAGAAATTGAGAGTTTACTGCCCATCCAAAAGGGTGTGGCTTCTACAAAGTTTCTTTTTGGTCTTCTGCGCACTGCGATTATTTTGAAAGCCAATTCTACATGCTTGTCTAACTTGGAGAGAAGGATCGGCATGCAATTGGATGAAGCCAGTTTAGAGGACCTGCTGATGCCTACGTTTTCTTACTCTTTGGAAACACTTTACGATGTTGATTGCATCCAGAGAATTCTTAAGCACTTCCTAGCCATGGACCAGGCTACTGGTGGAGCTTCTCCTGGTCTGGTAGATGATGAGCAGTTGATGGGCTCTCCTTCCCTTACACCAATAACCACTGTGGCTAAGCTTATAGATGGGTACTTGGCAGAGGTTGCCCCTGATGTTAATTTACAGCTGCCAAAGTTTCAGTCACTCGCAGCAGCCATTCCAGAGTATGCACGTCCCCTGGATGACGGGCTATACCGTGCCATTGATATATATTTAAAGGTAAATAATGTAATCACACAGACAAATCTTCTTAAATTTTTTCTAAAATAAATTTCTGATAACAGGCACACCCTTGGCTATCAGAATCTGAGAGAGAACAGCTATGCAGGCTGATGGACTGCCAAAAGCTCTCCCTTGAAGCCTGCACCCATGCTGCGCAGAATGAGAGGCTTCCACTTCGAGTTGTTGTCCAAGTTCTCTTCTTCGAGCAGCTTCAACTTAGAACCTCAATTGCTGGCTGTTTCCTCGTTTCTGACAACATTGATGGTTCACGACCATTAAGGAGCGGTCTTGTTGCGCCAAGTGAAGGTGGTGCCTGGGCCACTGCTGTCAGGGAAAATCAGGTTTTGAAAGTTGGAATGGATCACATGAGGATGAGAGTCTCTGAACTTGAGAAGGAGTGTTCAACCATGAGGCAAGAGATTGAGAGGCTGGTGAGGTTGAGAAATGGGTGGAGCGGCGGCATAACCAAAAGGTTGGGCTTCAGAATGAAGTCACAGATATGCAGCACACAAGAGGATTCAGTTAGTGAGGAGCAGAGCAGGAGTGGGAAGATTAAGGCTATAAACAAAGCTCACAAAGCATAACAGAAACTTATCCAACGGTGATTGGACTGTATGCTACTTTTCCCCCTGTATTTCACAGTTTTTAGTATTTCTTGTATTTTTTTTTCCATAGATTTTCGATGCATTCTCTAAATTTTCAGTCAAGTTATGTCGCTTCTCTCAAAATGAGGATATGTAATCTTCCTTCAGATTAATAAAATGTCTGAATTGTGCAATTGGAGAGGTCAGTCTTGGGTTTGCTAATTCGAGGTTGTTTTAACAATATGATCAAAATGCTTATATTGGCTTTGTTTCTTTTTTATCTTTCTTTCATTATTATTGTTGTTTTCTATTTTTTTGAAGTAAATGTCTGTTTTAGGTGATATTACAACTATCCACAAGCATCAACTTTTAAATAATTTAGTTGTTACCATTTTCCATATTATGAGAAGAATAGCAGTTTGAATTGTTTTCGCATATCTTGTTAATATTGAAATAATAGCTAATATTATTTTTTCTTTTTTATCTTTTACAAGGCTTTTCAGATCTATTCAATTAAGAAACAAATATTGTGTTTGGAGTCCGGACGCAAGCTGCATCCGATACAGGCAAGCGGAGGAAAAAAAAAAGAAGAAAAAACCGATCTTTCAGTGCATCGTGTCCGTTGTCCGGATGCAGCTTACGTCTGCACTTCGGACACAATATTTTCTTTTTCAAATAGACCTTTTTAAGCTGGGTGCGTTTCAGATTATAATTGAAATTCTTGCTGCTTGGACAGCATGCCTGCATTTATACCATGCTAAGAAATTTTACTTGTTAGCATACACCTTTATGAAATAATTTCATTTTGCTGATGAAAAAGATCAATAATAGGAAGTTTCATTTGGATGTTATTATTTTCTTATTAGTTCAATTATTTTTCAATAAAAATAATTATAGACAAAGGATTGGAGACTTGCACAGCTATTAAAGCAATTAACTTTTTGGTTTGTTATCTTTACTATGTTGGTGCATGTGTGTGTATATATATATATATATATTCCTATGTTTTAAAATAATTTATACTAATAACATGAAATAATGAATAAGATCCTAACATTACAAGAAATTGGCTAATTATTGTCAAAATTTTTTATGCAAAATTTAGCATCAGATTTGTGTCCGTGTTATGGCAAAATGATTAGTAATTTATTGTGCATTTAACATTATTGATGCTACATATTTACAGGTAACTTTGTATCGACTAGTGCCGACATAAACTGTTTGTCGCACTTTACGTGAACATTTTGTCAAGACATTTTAATCATTTAATAGTTTTGAAGGTTCCTATGATAATGATGATGTTAAATAATTTGTCGGAAGTGGGCCGACGCAAAACTGACGCATGTGTTTTAAAATTTTAATCACGTGTGACAAACCTCATTTGTGCCTCTCAATTTTTCATTGCTTAGGACTCCGACGACCCTCCTACATAGAGCTTCCGACGTGTCAGGAGTGTTTGCACTCGCGAAATCGCAGCTCCAACAAGCATTTCTCCTCTCCGACCTTTAAGTAAAAGTTTCTTATCTCTCGCATGTTCCGTTGATAAGATTTCTAAATACAAATTGAAGTTATTGTTTCAGATATATAAAACATAAGCATTGTGTTGTTTCTATATAGAACTTGAAGTTTATCGTGTTAGATATGTAGTACAAAAGAATGATGTGGTTTGCATGTGGAAATTGAAGTTTAGTTAGATATATGTAATGCATAGGAAATGTGTGTTTTGTATGTAACTTTTGAAGTTTAGGGCAATATATGTGTAAACATAAGAATTGTGTGTTTTGTATATAGAAATTGAATTTTGGTTTAGATATGTAAACATAAGAATTGTGTGGTTTGTATGTAAAAATTAAAGTTCAGGAATAAGATACGTGATGTATAAAAATTATGTGGTTTGTATGTAAAGATTGATGTTTGTGTGTTAGATAAGTAAATATATAAGAATTGTTAGATTTGTACGTGGAAAATACAGTTTAGGTGTCAAATATGTAATGCATAAGAATTGTGCGGTTTATATGTAACTATTGATGTTTAGGTTTAATTATGTAGGAAATTAGAATTATGCGTTTAATTTTGCATGTAGAAATTGAAGTTTAGGTTTAGATATATAGCACATAAGAATTGTGTAGTTTTTATGTAAAAGTTGAAGTTTCGGTGCATTATGGTGTTTAATTTGTATCTAGATATTGAAGTATCCGTGTTAGATATGTAGTTTCGGTGTTAGATATGTAGTACATATGAATTTAGTGGAATATATATCAAAATTGAAGTTTAGGTGTTACATATGTATTGCATAAGAATTTTGTTGAATTGTTTGGTTTGTGTGTGGAATTTGAAGCATAGTTGGTAGGTATGTAATGCATAACAATTGTGGGGTTGGTATATATGTAATATATAAGAATTGTGATGTTTGTATGTATACAATACGCAAGAGTTGTGTGGTTTGATGTGAAAATTGAAGTTTAGGTGTTTAGATATGTAATACATAAGAATTTTGTGGTTTGTATGTATGTAATACATAAGAATTAGGTGGTTTGTTTGTAGAAATTAAGGCTTAGGTGTTAGATATGTAATGCATGAGAATTGTTGTAGTACATAAGAATTGTGTGGTTTGTATGTAGAAATGAAAGCTTAGGTCTTAGATATGTAATGCATAAAAAATGTGGTTTGTATGTGTGTAATACATAAGAATTATGTGGTTTGTATGTAGAATTTGAAGCTTAATGCATAAGAATTGTGTGGTTTGTATGTATGTAATACACAAGAATTGTGGGGTTTGATGTAAAAATTGAAGTTTAGGTGTTAGATATTTAATACATAAGAATTGTTTGATTTGTTTGTATGTAATACATAAGAATTAAGTGGTTTTTATGTAGAAATTAAAGCTTGGTGTTACATATATAATGCATGAGAGTTGTTTGGCTTGTATGTATGTAATACATAAGGATTGTGTGTTTTGTATGTAGAAAGTAAAGCTTAGGATTTGATATGTAATGCGTATGAATTGTGTGGTTTGTTTGTATGTAATACATAAATTGTGTGGTTTTTATGTAAAAATTGAATTTTAGGAGTTATATGCGTAATTCATAAGAATTTTGCGGTTTGTATGTAAAATTTAAAGTTTATGTGTTACGTGAAATTCATGAGAATTGTGCATGGTTTACTTGTAAAGATTGAAGTTTGGGTGTTATATATGTAGTACATATGAAATGTATGTACAATTAATATTTAAATATACTAATTTATAAATCTACATTTAGATTACATAAATATATATTCAAAATTTGTGATTATGGATGTGTGATGTATTGTATCTATGAAAAAAGCGGTCCACTGATGGGTTCTCGAATGGTGTTGAGGAATTTGTGCAAATGACATCACAATTGTCCATTTATCATCAAAACGAAAGTTCTAATGCCCTTTTGCATAGCACAAAAAAAAACGTAACTAACATCAGAAGAAGTCAAGTTAGATAGGTACAACAAAGGATTATAATCTTATTATTGGTACTAGACTGCATATGGTGAGTAGGAACCAGATGTTCAGTACGATCATGTTGGTGCCTCATGAAGTTATGCCCCTTCAACGGAATACTATCCTGTCACATATGAAGAATTGATTTATAATGTCCGCATAACTCATTTTGTTGGGTGTCTTCTTGATGAATATCAAACACTAAAAAGTGAAACACAATAATTTCATTACACATAATTAGAAGGTTGCATTACACATACAAAGTTATCAATGTACAGATTTGTTTGTCCATAATGTACATATTTGTTTCAAGCATTCACTTTGAAAAATAGAAGAAAAATTCCCAGTTTGATTTTCATTGAAAGTTTCTAGCCCATGACCACCTATTCAAAAGGAATAATGATGCCTTCTTTCATAATATAGTTGAAAAATTAAGTCCTCTTCTAAATATAATTGGAGCTGATTTATGACAGAAGATTAATGAAATGCCAAAGATCTTTGAGAGACTAGAACTAGCTTCAAATTTCCTTCTTGATTTCAATGTTACACATAATTAGGCAAAGTGAAGTAAATACATTTTGGTCAATTTCTAGCCGGTCACTCATTCAAAAAGTATAGAGACTAGAATTTGATGTAAAAGGAAATTAGTTTATGTTCATACTATTTTGAGTGAGGTTAGCAAATACATTAAATTGTTGGTGACATGCCTTCACATTCAAAATTTAATCATTTTAGATATTAGGAGAACCATTAAGGAGGCATAATATATGCTATCACAAAGATAAAAAGCTTCGAGTAGCTACATTATATGTTTTATCAAACTGTAACGAATTCCAAATATTTATACAGTAAGATTGCTAGTAATTAGAAATTTTTTCAGTTTTTACTAAGAATGTTATATTAATTAACTTCAACATACAAATAGCAATGACATGGGCATATTATTTACGGACAGTTTAAACATAGAGGATAACTTTGTTATATATAAAAAGAAAACTGAAGAAGAATTTTCAATATTGTTAAAATTATATGTATGTTGTAGTAACTCTTCAATTCACTAATATATAATATAATTTTCATGTTAAAAGAAAAACTAGTTATATTTTTGAAACTTATAGGTTTATAATCAAAATAATGTAGTTATAGATCAAGGCTTATTAAATCTTGTTTGGGGGCCTAACTACAATGTCATTATGTGACAAATATTTAATGTGAATGGTTATAGATTTCACATGATTTGCTGGTGTGAAGGGAAGACAATATATAATTGTAGTGTTTGTATTAAAGGAAATATCAACTCAGAAAATGACATCAATTATTATGACATACTTGAAGGAGAGTGCAGTTTTAATATTCAATTATATTGTGTGTAATGTATTTCTGTTAAACTGTGAGTAGTTTGATCTTGTTCATAATCAAGGAACACACATGGTATTACCAAACTTAATATGAATAGAAGATATTCAAAATTTGATCCATTTATTATAGTTTGTCAGGTTAGCCATGTTTATTACTATTGATATCCTGGTAGAGCAATAACTAAAATTGATCGGGCTGCAGTTATTAAGAATAAACAAGACAAACTATTGAGATGAAAAATATTGTTAAATCCATTAACTATGAGCAAGATATGCCAGATTTTTATATTTAGCTTGATTTTATCAAACCCTAAAGATTACCACGAAAACTTATGAAGAGGTTTCTTATATTACGAAGGAAAATGATGATATAAATGAAGAAATTTTAAATTTATCATTGACTAACTTCTCTGATAAACTAAGAATAATATGTTTATTTAGACTTTTTGTTTTTTTATGATTTTGTCTCTTATAGTATTAGCTTTCCAAGTTTCACATTGTCTGTTATGCGGATTCTTACTTTTACTTTTGGTATTTTTACAACATTTTTCTTGCTTTGATTTGACATTTTCTTATTTTTACTTTTGCTGCTTATGTTATACTTTTTTTACTTAAATTTTATTATTTTATCTTTTGTTGCTTAGATTTTATTAATGCATTTCTTTCCGTTACAGATGGCTTCTACTAGTAGTGGAGATCAACCACCTCATTGACCTCTCTTGATGAGCCATAATTATTGAAGGATAAAGAAATTAGTATCCCACTCTACCTCACACAAAACTAGTGTTGTGTTGATTAGCAACACCATCATCAACACAACCCCTCCTGCATCTTTTGTCACCGCTTCGATTAGGCCTGTTGCCCCATTCTGACCACCTTCTTCTTCTTCCACTATAGCCCTTCTCACACATTTTGTTTCAAGCACTCAGCCATTACATCCCACTCAACCACCAAATCCTACTCAGTGAACACTTCCCCCGTAGCCACCACCTCCCCATCCGATCAGTCGGACCCCTCTACTCCTGCCACTATGAAGCAGGACACCTCTGGATGGGTAAAGTTTGAGCTACAAAGAGACTCGTAAGCTGCCTTTTCCATTATAATAAGTTCTTTGATATTTTTAATATTTTGTAACTTATATTTCTATTTCAAGTTATGTCCCTTTAGACCACCGACCACACACATCACAGAGGTCATAAAGAGTAAATACAATTCTCAGTATCTCTCATAGAAGCAGATCCCGATCATGACATGCATGTGGTTCAGGGAGTTTGTGGTAGAATCGTTTAATTTGAATTAAAATTATTATTTTAAGTTTTTTTATACAAATAAATATTGCATAATTTTTAATATGTAGAGGATATTTCACTAGATGTTGGAGCATCACTAGCTGATCATCATATTTTTGGGGTTGGGGGCACAAATTGACTGAGTGATGTGTTCATCACAGCTGTAGGAAAGGGGAGCGACTCATCTGTGTTGGGGATGAGGTTTGGGATTAGTTGACCAGAGCCTCATACTCTCCTAATTATCAGAGAAAGAGGACAACCAACCAGTTGAATAGAAGAACCAAGGCGACTAGGGGCGTCACACTTCACATTGAAGGCTCAGTCCTATACAGGGAGTACTAATAGAAGCTTGTAAGATCTGCTAAAAACTCAACAATTCAATGATGCAATTTTGTGGTACTTAATATTATTTCATGTACACAGGCTCAGGATCGTGACAGTCTGCATCCCACTACAGAGTTGCATGTCCGAACGCATCGACATGTCTGACATCACTGGATGTGTAAATGTAAATAAGAAAATAATTTTATAAATTCTTTTATATTATTAATATAAAACTTTAATTAATCATTGGTTCTAATGAGTATGGCACATCTGAAACACATCGAGGTAGAGGGATAGTCAGATCCTGACGGCCTACAGTTGCAGCGGTATCCAGCCTAACCACTGCGTGGTTTGATTTTAAGATTTAGAGGTAGGCATAAGGGAAGAAGAAATGGAAGGCGTACAACTTAGGCCTGAAGGGAATTGCATTCAAGGCCCGAGCACTCATGTGTTCTATAGGGTGGTTCAAGGTCATTATTATCAGAGCATGACAAAGTTGCCCTACATATGACTATTATGACTGACCGCCTTTTGCCTTCGTACCACCCGACATGATTCATGCTCAGCAGTCCAGATAACATTGATAACAGATAAGCAACCTAATTCATGACCTTATTTATAAGACACACAGAGCACAAAAATGAAGGGAGAACTAATTAATAAATTTTCCTTTTTGGTTATCGTGATATGATTAGCTAATAATTTCTCTGTCCTTATTGTAGTTATAGTCATTAAAGAGCAGAAAAACTTGAGAACTAATATGTATACACCAGAAGTATCGACACAAATCTCAAAAAAAACGAACGACCAGGAATACAAAGCTTCCCTTCGAGGTAAGCGCTCGATGGACAATTCAACGCTAAACACAAGAGACCCCCATCTCGAAACCTTGGATAGGTCAAAGCGTCGAAGATGGTTCCCCACTCGATAGAGATAATATTCGTTGAGGGTGAGACACAAATCATCCCGACAATGAGTCACATTAGATATCTAGCATATGAAACAACAAAGATCCAACACCGAGACAACGAACTGACCAGAAGGAGGAGACATGTTCTGTAAGACTTTAGCCAAACAGTAAGTGAACCACGACTCACCTAACAAAACTAATTGACTTATCGGTTGACCGGCTGGCCGAAGCAACAAGTCTCACAAAGTCAATCGACTAAGCCTCTCGATAAACAAACCATTTTTCAGAACAACCCTCCCCCTCGACATAAGCAAATTCCAGACGACCGACCAATACGATCAGTCCATCGGACGACAATACCTAAAGTCAATCGACTAAGCCTCTCGATAAACAAACAACCATTTTTCAGAACAACCCTCCCCCCTCGACATAAGCAAATCCAGACGGCCGACCAATACGATCAGTCCATCGGACGACAATACCCTTAAACTCATAAGTCATTTTAAACTATTATTCTCTGTCAATATTATGATGAACATTAACTGAAATTATCTGCATTAATTCTATTAAGGGTGATTACCATAACAATTCTTGCTTTCCTTAATTGTACTGATTATACCCCTCTAAATAGATAGTCTTAAGAGGAATACAGACACTCTCTGACCCTTTGACAAGAAAATTACGGTGCACTCCTTTTCTCTCTCTCGTGCCTCTTTTGATTCTGACTCTTGAAGTGTGCTCACAAAAAGACAAGTTTGAATTCAACAAAAATATATCATATATAACAATGCAAAATGTATAAAATTTAATACTACAATAAAGAACGCAATTCTATGTATACGAATTTGTGCATATCTATAAATCAATCTAACTTTATTAGATCTATTTTCTCATCAAAAATGACGGCAGACTCGGTGATGACTATGGTTGTATCAACTCTGCTCCACAAGTGAAACCAGACAGGAATTTAAGTAGGCAAGGCCTCAATTTACTTTTGAGATTATTTGGCAGATCTTACGTCCTTTAAAGTTTCTTTCTTCATGCAAGGGGATATTGCATGTCCCACTCGTTTAAGTAGTTCACTCACTGAACAGCCTTCTTTGGTGGCTAGCCTCTGAAAAATTGAACTGACTCGGGTGATAGGAGTATGTTTCTTTCTCTCCACACTCTGTACCCGAATAACAAAAACAGGCTTGGTAATCCTCTAAATATCACATAATTTAATGAAAACATCAAGAATAATGCTCTTAAAAAAGAAAATTATATTTCTCCTAATAAATAATTGTCAATCAATGGCACACGATTCCAAATGTTTCAATCATTTAACACAAAATAAAACTTTGCTCAAGGATTCTATGATAAAAAAATCCTAGTTTAATATCTAAAATTATAATGGAAAACAACCATATTGTTGACATTACCTAATCATAACTTGCTTAGAGATCAAAACTGATCAATCTAAACTAGCATGGATCACTCCAACAACAAGCAAATCTAATTCAAACGCTACAAGGAAAAAATATCTTCTATATTAACCTTATATTTTAGCAGCCTTTTAAAATCCTCTCATTGTTATATCAAAATAAAAAGAGAAACAGAACTCATATAGATTATGATTATCTTCTCCATAAGCAATTTTGCCTTGATACTAGAAATCAGTAGAAGATGCACAAACAATTTCACTCTGCCACATGGCTCATATAACCCAAATGATCAACAAACTATCCTATGAATACATGCTACAAACAACAACAACAACAACAATAGTAATAATAACAAAAGCCCATACATTTTCTCACAATTTACAGAAAAAAAGAATATATATACTATACGATCGATCAACGCGGCTAACAGATGATAAATTCCATTAGGACTCTGTAAATGTTTCTTGTGAAATGTTGTTTTGAGTTTGTTGAAGCTTTAGTTATCTATTTTCAGCAGGGAATTGAGGGAGGTGCTGTTGAATCTTTGAGCAAGCCCTCTGATAACAAGAACAATGATATCCCTTGTGTGCCGTGTCTGCACCATTAGATCTACCTCATTCTCACTATCAACTACAATTTTGAACCTGTGTTGATCATTCCTGTAAAGCTCCACCTGCAAAAAACAAAAAAACAAAAAAAAAAAAGAAGAATTTTTATGGAAGAATTTTTATGTTCTGTTCATTTTTATGTTCTGTTCATATGGAACTTGATATAACTAGCATTTTTCATGTTTATTTTTTCTATAAATCGAGTTTCATCTGCTCGGATCAAGTGCGCGCACTGTTTGTGAAGTCTCAGGGCAATCTGCTTTTATCAAGTACATATATTTCATGGGGTTGCATAAAATCATTGATATTTAAGTTAAATTTTGATAAAATCAAGAATTCTAAGAGGGATAAATTAAAATATGATTATATTAATAACATTTGGAGTGATATCTGCTGAAGGTATACTAATTAATACAGTATTAAGAAAGTAGATAAAATTAGCATCTACATATTAGAGAACAGATTGTATGTCAATATTTGAGAGAATAGGCTGAATGCTCTTTCCCTTGCTTTCATTCCAATAAATAATAGTCTGTACAATCTATTTTATGTACATAATAATCTGTATAATCTATTTTAGGTAGCTAAATAATACATATTCTTAATCTAAATATTCAGTTAAAAGGAAAAAAAAAAAATCTGTGCAATAAAAGTAAATTATTTAAGCAGGCAATTCAAAGAAGGAAATTCATAATTCTTTTTTATTTCATTTATTCTTGATTGATATGGTAGATAAGGAATAACATGGACGGTAAGTACTTCAAAATGCTTTGCAAAAAATGTTTAGCACAATAACAGAAAGGAACAGAAGATGAGAATTAATATAGCTGACACCAAATAACTGAAATAGAACCAATGATGATGGGGTTATACAAGGAACAATTGCTTACATGAAAGGGTGGGGCATAGGTTCCGCGGATTTCGGTGACAGGAAAAGAAGTTTTGGAACCAGGCTTTACAACCTTGATCCTCTTCCTGTTAACTTCTAATATCCTTTTCTCAAGATTTCCAGCTCCTGGGACCTGTTGAAGAAGAAGGTTTCAGTTTTCCAGGATAAATTGTTCAAGCAAATAATTGAGCAAGGACCAAAAACATGAATACCTTCTTCTCCTTGTCGATCAATGCCTGATACCAAAAGGAAGAAAAACGAAGTCAGAAGTTGAAACAAACACTAATATTAAGCAACATATAAACATGTGAAAGGAGTAAATGAGCAATGTAAGTGTTGGAAAACATCACCTCAAATTTCACTGATCCCATGTCAAGCTTTTGCTTTACTTCTCTAGACACATCGGGTTCTGTAAAAGGTCGAAATATCCGATTGGGAACTTATAGCTAAGAGTTATGCATTTTTTAGGGGGGGAACAGAAAGAAATGCATGGATCATGAAACTTTTCAAATGGCAGTTAAATCAATGAAATAAAAAAGAATCATATTTACGGTATGGAAGGCAATATAAGAAGATTTATAGAATTATGACACCACTTAGGGAGCAGAAAAAACATGGCACGAAAGCTGCTCAAATTTGAAAAAATTTTTCTGTCCGGACTCCGGACGTAGCTCTACATGCGAACTCCCAGTAATATATCATCATGTGTGATATATCGGGCCCAACTAAAAATTATTAAATTAAAACCGTGGACTCTGTAATAACCCTGAAATAATCTCGAATAACCTCCGTGGCTCCACTTTATTAACCCGAAATAACCTCTCCGAAATAACATTGTGGAGGTTATTTCAGGGTTATTGAAGAGAATCCCATATACTCCACTTCAATAATCCAGAAATAACATCGAAATAACTTCTGCGATGTTATTTCGGGGTTATTGAAGTGGAACCGCAGAGGTTATTTCGGGGTTATTGAAGTATAATTCATAGATTTTTCTTCAATAACCCCAAACCCCAAAATAACCCCGAAATAACCTCCATCATTTCACTTCAATAACACCAAAATAACCTCCGCGATGTAGCACATGTAGCGGCATATTATTAGAATCCGCATGTAGAGCTACATCAGGAGTCCAGACAGAGATTTTTTCCTCAAATTTGAGACCTCTACTTTGAGAATCAGAGCTCATTGGTATCAAACAAGTTGTCAACAGAAGAGGCCATGACCGCGTGATAATTGACATTACAGGAGAAAATATGGAGAGGGATTGAATTACATACCAACTGCAATAGGCTCCGTTGAAATAGATACAGACTCTCCCTCTACCCCATCTTCTCGTATGGGAGTATAAAGTGCAACAAGCCTGTAGCCAACGTCATCAACATTAGCTTCATACATACGCCCGGACTCGCCTGTTACAAGAGCGGAAAAATAATCATATAAAAATATGCATGGATAAAAAATTTGGCATAAAACCATACGACAAAGGCAATGCCACAAATCATTTTTAATCATCTTGAAAAGATCAAAGCATAAAAATAAAGAAAATAAATAATAAAAATATAAATATAATAAACATAAGAATACAAAAGATCATAAAAACTAAACTTCATATGTCAGCCGTTGTGTGAACAAGGGAGGAAACTTAAACTTGATCCAATAAAGGAAAAGTGACGGAAAATACATGAAAAGCCTGTAGATTAGAAATCTGAGCAAGGGAGGAAGGACCAAGACAACAAGGCCCAAGTTGCTACCACATCTAAATGGTTGGCCGACCCTAGCCATTGCACAAAAGAACAACTGTAAGTGTTGAAGAAACTTCTTTCGAGCACAACTGAGTGGCCTACCAACTTAATGATACACTAGGGTATCATGTTCTCCCATCTCGCTAACAATGGAAGATTTCAACTTTGGATGATAAATTCAGATACTTCCTATCATTGAGAATATTCATGCTCTCACCAAATACCAAAACTTCACCAACTCCAAATTTATTAAACTTGCCAATGAATCTCACATCAGGATTTTTGGTAAAGGAGAAGTCTAAGTCTCCAAATATACTCAACTCTATTCTATGTTATATTTTCCCATATTAGATTGCAATTTACTTTCAATTAGCAAGCTTACTCAGGATTTAAACTGCGTTACTAAATTTCATTCTAATTCTTGTGAATTTCATGTAAGTACATTTGAGAAAGGTGATTGATAGTCTTGAATTTTATCAAGGTTCATACCTGCTCAAGGAAAGCTACTCTCTTAACACAAATATCTTTTCCGCTTTCCCTTTCTCATGTTCCTGAGTATGTTGTGTATGATTCTATTAAAAGTCAAGTTTTAATATGACATTGTCGTCTGGGTCATCTGAATTTTCATTATGTTATAAAATTATACCCCCTTCTTATTATTAATAAAAATTCATAGTTTTATGAGTGAAACATTATAATTGGCTTGAAATACTCGTCATGTCTATTCTCTATCTCAGTACAAACCCTCACATCCATTCTCTATCATCCATAGTAACATTTCAGAAACATCAAAATTGAAAATCGTCTATGGTGCCAGAGAATGTTTCAATTATTGATGACCATACTAGAAATAGTTAGATATTCTCCATGAAGGAAAAATCTGAAACTGCACAAATTTTTCATTCCTTCCATAATATAATGTTTACTCAATTACAATGTAAAATTTAAGTTCTCAAAACTAATAATGCGAATGAATACTTTAATTGTAATTGGACCCTATCCTGCAAAGAACGATATCATCCATGTGAGTTATTATGTTGAAACTTCAAAATAAAATGAGATAACTGAGAGGAAGAATAAACATACTATAGCTCCATGGATATTACCTTCTGAAAACCAACTTTACTACACCAAATCAGATATTTATAGGGAGAGTACAGGTGAATATCAAAGTTGAGACACTACTTTGGATACTTACACTAATCTAGACACATCACAATCTATTCTTCCCTCCAAACATTCTATCTCCCAAGTTCCACCAGTTGAGAACATCCATTCTGAGATTGACAAAAAACTTCGTGTGTGTGTATTAGGAAAAAGAAATCCACAAAAAAATTAAAGACAACATGCAACTAAAGGTCTTTTGACAACCAAACTTGAATTCACACATCTTTGAAGTTTCAAGGGAGAGGTGAAATCCAGTGGAGAAATAGGGAAAATTGCACAAATTATCCTATCCAGGATTATGTTACCCATGAGAAGTTATCAACTTATAAACTTTTGTATCAAATTTTGATAGTATGCAGATACCTTAAAGTCAATTCATGACACACTTCAAAGTCCATAATGAAAAATACAAGTGAAGAAGAGATCCAAAAACTTGATGTAAAGGCACATGGAACCTTACAAAACTTCGTACGAAAAAAGACCCGTTGAATGCAAATGGGTCTTCAATGTCACGTACAAAACAAATATGAGCATTGAGATGTTCAAAACTATGTTGGTAGCCAAAGATTTCACTTAGTCATATGGGATAGACGATCAAGAGATATTTGCTAGAGTAGCCAAGTTAAACACTATAAGAGTTCTTTTCTTAGCAATGAACAAAGAGTGAGAATTCCATCAACTTGATATTAAGAATGTATTTTTGAATGGAGAATTTGAGGAAGAAGTGCATATAGAGATCCATACCGCTGGGACTGAAAAATAACTCAAATAACCATCAGGTTTATAAATTTAAAAAGTCACTTTATGGCCTTAAACAATCTCCAAGGGCGTGATTTGACAAGTGTGTCAAGAATAGTCTATCTAATGAGTACATACAATACCAAACCAATCATACATTGTTCATAAAACATGCACAGGAAAGTAAAAAAAAAAAAAAAAAAAAAAAAAAAAACTATATTCATTTTCTATATAGATGATATGATCCCGACAGTTGATGAAAAAGAAATTGGGAAAATTAAGAAGATTCTTCCTATTGAATTTGAAATTAAAGTCTATAATCTATGAGAAACTTTCTGAGCATGGAAGTGACCTGGCCCCAATCAATATGGGTATTGTGGTATCCCTAAGAAAGTACATCCTAGACTTATTAAATGAAACATGAATGCGATGGTGCGAACCAACTGAGACTCATGGATTTTTTAAAAAAAGTTACAGTCAGGGTGAGAAAAGATGCCAATAAAAAAATAGATATAAGAGATTGGTGTATATGATTACTTACCTGCCACATACTATACCTGATATCGTTTATTCTGCTGACATAGTGAGTCAATACATGAACAGTTCAAATGAATAAAATTTGGAGATGATTTGTAGAATATTGAAATTTCTTAAGAATACCTCTAACAGAGGGTTATTGTATAAGAAATATGACAACAAAGAGGTAGAAGTTTACACTGATGCTAACTGAGTAAAAGAAATCATAGATAGAAGATCCAGCTTTGGGTATTGTTCCTATGTCTGGGGAAATCTTGTCACAGGAAGAAACAATAAGTAGTGGTTTCTAGAAATTGTGCAAAATCTGAGTATCAGACACTTGCTTTAAGAATTTGTGAATGCAGCAAATCCAAATAGTACTAAATGAGTTAGGATACTCCACGATCAAAATCCCATAAAGATGTTTTGTGACAACCAAACCACCATTAATATTGCAAAGAATCCAGTGCATTATGACAAAACCAAATACATTGAGATTGATAGAAATTTTATCTCTGAGAAGGTCATTGAAGGCATTATTCATTTAATCTACATTCCAGTTCATCTTTAAGTTCTTGATGTCTTCACTAAATCTCTACCTTAAGGCAGCTTATACCAAGCAGTCTTTACAACATCTATGAACCAGCTTGAGGGTTTTGGAGTTCCGAGTTTCCTATTTTAGACTTATTCTCATTTATTCGGTTCCTATTATATTGTATTTATTTCCTTTTGTTGGTTATTATGTCTTCAGTAAGATGTAATGGTAGAAATTATGTTTTCCCTAGCCTTTACTTATTATTATATAAGGAAAAGGGTGGCAATTTGATAATTAAGAAATAAGATAATACAATCTTCTCCACCTTTCTTCATGGTATCAAAGCTTTAAAATAAGCACTAGCACTCCTTTAGCAATAAAGCCCATCAAACAGTCATTCAACAGCCGGAATCCTCCCTACGACTGGCCTACAAGCCCTCCTCCGCAAGCCGCCTTTTCAATGTATGCTCTGTGGGGGATCATGCAAGCAGTTCGTATTCATGCTGCTTCTGCAATAGCTCATTCAATTGCTCTTCTTCTAATTGCTCCTGCGAGTCTTGCTTGCCTCTCCTGTACTCACGAGGAAGGGTAACACACAAGCATCCAAAACCGAGTTCTCTCTCAATCAGACTCTGCCTGCCCTAGCCACAATCTATTCTAGTCGAACAGATCCTCCCGCAAGCATAAGCCGCTAATTCAATGAGGTGCTTCTCCTGGCACCATGCTATCCTTCTGGCATCGCACATCAATAACTATATCCTCTACAATAGCACCAGGGTGACCTCTTAGCAATGCATCGATCTCCCTTCAATGCAAGTCTTCAACTCCTCGATGGATACTGATCCATTGCCTTATTCTTCCATAAACATGCATAGGGCTTATGACGAAGCATGACATGAAGATGTCTGACTCTACTCTAGAGGTTAGTTCTGAATCAAAGAGCAAAAATTCTATCTAAAAGATCCCACATAACTCTCTCACTTTATCATTAATCAGAAACACAATGGGAATAATTTCTTTCAATGGCCCCAATCCTTGCTTAGGTTCATGGAAAAGAGAAGGGGAACATCTCACCGAGGAAGGCAAACTTTTTGATCTCACTAATCCTAACAACCGCTCATGGGAGAAGATCCAGGATCAAGAAAAAATTTCTTGATTTATAACAAAACATAGAATATTTGAGAAAAAAAACGTGATACTTATTCCAGTATCGAAAATACTGTAGAATTTTTTGAGATTGAGACAAATTGCATGAGCTCTGACAAAAAGAGTAAAGTGTGACTCAATACTTTAAAAAACTCACAAAGTATTGGTTATAATTAGATATGTATGATACTAATGTATGGAAGTGTACCCTCAAGATGTTATGTTGTATAAAACAATAGTGTAGAAAAAGAGAATGATCAAGTTTTTATTGGGTTTAAATACAAACTTAGATGAGGTTAAATGAAGAATCACAGGGATGAAGCCTCTTCCTACCACTTGGGGGAAGTCTTTGTTGAAGTTAAAAGAGAAGAAAATAGAAAGAATTTCATGATGATTGGAAATGTGGATTCATCTAGTATTGAAATCTCCGCATTATACGCACATAACTTCTCCCATGAGTCAAAGACAAAAAAAGAATCAACCTTTGAGTGAACATTGCTAAAAACTTGGTTGCATAAGAGACAAGTACTGGAAACTATATGAAAAACCTGCAGATTAGAAACTTGGGTAAGGGAGTAAAGACAAATAAAACAAAACCCATGTTACTAATTCGTCCGAAGGGTCGGCTGAACCTAGCCCTTTCACCAAGGAACAACTGAAAGTGTTGAAGAAATTTCTTTTGAGCACAACTGAGCAGCTTATCAGCTTGATACACCAAGTTATCATGTTCTCCTCCTATCTTGCTAACAATAGAAGATTCCCGTCTTGGATAATAGATTTAAGTACTTCTGGGCTGGAGATAATCACACTCTCAGAAATTAACAAGGGTTCACTGAATCCAAATTTATTATATTTGTCGATAGATCTCACACCAGGATTGTTGGGAGAGGAGAAATGAAAGTCTCAAAATATATTCAGATCTCTTCGGTGTTATATGTTTCCCAATAAGATTGCAACTTAATTTCAATTAACAACCTTACTCATAACTTGAACTATGTTACTAATTTGAATTCTAAGTCTTTTGAATTTAAGGTAGTGGATTCGATAAATATGATTGAGAGTACTATATTGCATCAAGATATATACCTGCTCAAGAAAAGTTACTCTCTTAACAAATAAATGTCTTCTCCACTTTCCCTTTCTCATGTTCGATGTGTCTAAGCCTGTTAAAAGTCAATTTTTATTATGGAATTGTCATCTGGGTCATCCAAATTTTCATTATGTTTTAAAGTTGTACTATCTCTTTATTAATAAAAAATCAAGTTTTACCAGTATGATCAGTTGGCTAAATATACTCTTCAAATCTATTCTCTGTCCCAGTACAAACCCTGACATTCTTTCTCTATCATCCATAGTGACATTTGGGGACTATCAAAGTTAAAAAAACGTCAATAGAGCCAAATGGTATGCCTCCTTTATTATTGCATAGAATCCTGTACATCATGGAAAGACCAAACACATTGATATGAATAAATATTTTATCTCTTAGAAGATCAATGGAGGCATTATTTAGTTAATCTACATTCAAACTCATCTTCAAACTGCTGATGTCTGCTTTACCAATTCAAATACCAAGCTGGGTCTATTAACATCTATGACCCAACTTAGGAGAGTGAAATTATAAGTTCTCTGTTTTAGATTTATTCTCATTTATTCCGTTATTATTATGCTGTATTTCTTTCGTTTCGTTGATTATTGTGTCTTTGGTAAGTTGTAATAGTAGGAATTAAGTTTTCCCTAGTCTTTACTTATTATATAAAGAGGAGGTTTTAATTTGATAATTGAGAAAAAAGATAATACAATTTTCTCCACCTTTCTTCAAAAGTTGCTACAGCAACTTATATGGCAACCTACTAAGAAATCTGGGTGTGTGTTCCAGGTAGCCAAGGCAAGTTCTTCATTATTTTTATATCAATAAATAAGCAGGACTAAATAAATAAACAGAGATTAAATATTTCAGGGTTTCCTAGTAAGAAAATACTCAACCTTTCTATTTCAAAACCATTGAAATATAATAAAGAGCAATAACACTATGCAGAATTGATGGAATAATCCCACCCAATATCAGCCTTTTTACATTTTAAAAGCAGGCTAAATCTAGATCATCCTATACAAGATATAAGCCTTTTCTAACTTTATTAAAGATATGTGAATCAATATCAAATTTGCAAATCACCACAGCATAATGTATTTATTTTGGCATTACCAGGTATAGATATAAGATCAGGACTTCCAACCATCGATCTAAGCCACTGAATTTTGCTCTTTCCTTCTTTTCCTCCACTATATACACCACGAACAGCATACAAGTTCGTATGGAAACCTCTTCCCTCAATCTCAAGCTTTGAAATTTTAGGCATTCCGGGAGAAAAAAAAAATAAACTGATGTCAATTAACACTGATTTATACGAGGGCTAAGGTGCTTCAAAAACTAATAAATATAGTGCAAAACCATTATTCGGAAATAGTCTAGTACGACTATGAGAATAACTCTGTAAATACGTTATTCAAGAAAAATAAATCCAAAGATAAATCATGAGCTTTTAAGAGCAAAGAGATTTTTATTTTTTTATTGATATCACCTTAATTTAATAAATTAGTATCTGACTACTTACAGCACTGTTAGATAACTGAAGATAAAAGAAATGCTGAGAAAATGAACACTGCAGGGAATTTATCTAGATTATTCTACAATGGAGAAAAGCCATGCGACTAGCCTCCTGGAAGTCGCAATGAATCCTACAGCTTTTTATCTTCTTCCATTGTTCTAAGTTAGCTAAGCTAAGCAATTATAATGATGCACTTGTGAAAATAAGACATCAAAATTGATCTACATAGCACTTACACACATTCACTAACTAAATTTGTCCATTATAAAAAGTTGATTAAAAACATTTAGCAGGAAAGAAGATACAAAAATTCATGGGGCATTATACTACCATACTATAAGAATTTAGTCAGCAAATTCACGAATTATACTTATATACTGCATGTACATATGAATTATTCAAAAGTATTTGAGTCTTCTAAACCCCACAAGGTGCTGAAAACAATACCTATTTTAAACTTCATAGTAACAACATCTCTCTCTCTTGTTTTTGAAAAGTGCTCCTTTCTCATTCTAACTTATCAAGAATTATTTGTAATAATCTAAATATTTCTACTACTTGCGTCGAGCCAATAAATATTTATCATTGCCTTCAAACACAAATATTGAAATACCTGGCAATATAGGAGAAGTCACTGCCGAGACGGTCTCACTTGATCTTCCGAATACATCATTAACAGTGCATTCGCATTTCAGGCAACGGCCAATATCCTCAAAACGGACCCTATATGAGCTAGACTGTTGTGTGGGAAACAGCTCAAAGGACTGATGCTCCCCCATACTCACTGAATAAAACCTGTCACCAACACCTTTAAAGGATTAGATAAATTTACTTCTAAGAGACTATTATACCAAATACAACAAAATAGTGTTTTACCATTGGTATTTAACATCTTTTTTGTACTTGGTCCAGACATACTTTTGGTTTTCAGTTTTTGGTATTATTTCAACAGCTGTAAGTATTTCTCCTTCTAATTCCTTTCCATTGAAAGAAAGCAACTCAATTTTCGGAAGTTCTGAAAAGAAAACATAATCAAATAAGACCATCGTCTTATGAAACCACTTGAGCATTAGGTATCATCAGCCATCATCAATTTCCATATTAAATGCCTATAATAAAAGAAGGGCTTTGAAGAAACATGCACAATAAAATAAAACAAGTAGAATCTCACAAGTGATTTGACAATAAGAAACCTTTGTGTGCGTGTTTAGGTATTTTATTGTAAGCTTAAGTTTTGGTTAAACTAAGAATCGCTCAAGGATAATGAACAAAACTAAAATTGATATCAATAATATTTATGTATAATTCTAGATTAATCAAAGATTTTTAAATAATTTTTTGGTTATATTATTTATTATTTTACTTTATAAGCATTTATTATTTAAATAAACTCAATTAATTATCATTCATAATGTAAATTAATGAAAATTAACTTATATATTATAAATATTAAATAGATGTAGATCCTAAATTTTCAAATCATGGTTATCAATAACAGCCTTATCACCACCTACCACAGTTAGCCATGTTGCCTTAAGCTTAACCCTGTAACCACTGAACTTCCTTGACACAAACTCTATTTGACAAGTAAATGAAACATAGCCTACTCTTAATTGTCCGTGAACCAATAACTCAAATTTAATTTTTATGGCCTATAGTTGTAATATCTACAACCTAACAACTAATATTTTCCTCCAAAACAATTGTTATCTTATATAAAAAATAAGGGAAATGGAAATTGTCACTATGGTAATTCAGAAAACACAGTTTACCTGGAAGAACAATGTTGGATGCTTCTGACAGTACAAGTTCCCCAATAGCCGAGTCTGAACGAACAGGGGTATAACTGCAAATTAATGTTAAAATAATCCATCAAAACACAGCATAGACAAGTCACAACTATCTAATTATGACGAGATAGAAAAAGGGACAAAACATTCATCTAAAAATAAAACACAAGCAATGAAAAAGTATAAAAGATTGAAAATAAAAATGCTAAACAACGTAATTCCATTCAGAGAATAAAAGGTAAACCTTTACGAGCATGACAATATAAATACGCTTTAATCATGACAATGAAAGTAATTTAACAGTTGCAAGAAGACAATATTGCAACTACGGCAACTACCAGCAAAAGCAATAGATGCAATAATCTTTTACAATAAATAAAAAAAGCACATTTGCGATTGCCATTTATATCTTTTGTGAAAGTAATGAAAGCAAAAACAAATACAATAGCAACGTACTAGAACTGGTTTTTTACGTCCACATGCTCTTGCTCCATCCTAGTGTGATATGGCTGTCGCTCAAATAGATGTGATTCCCCTCTTTCTCCCTCTTACTATGTGCTCTCTCTCTCTTTCTCTCCCCTCACCACCCCCTTCTCTCTCTCTAATCTTTCTCTTCTTTTCTATATTCCCTCTCACACATTCCTCTCTCGCCATTCTCGATCTTCTTAAACATTTCACATCCATCAATGTATCTTCTGCTAAAATCATAGCAAGGAAATCAATTGATTTCTCTCCCAATTAATATGCATCATCCTTTTCCCTACTCTCACCATTCTCGATCTTCTTAAACATTTCACATCCATCAATGTATCTTCTACTAAAATCATAGCAAGGAAATCAATTGATTTCTCTCCCAATTAATATGCATCATCCTTTTCCCTAATTTGGATGGTACTCTCACCATTCTCGATCTTCTTAAACATTTCACATCCATCAATGTATCTTCTACTAAAATCATAGCAAGGAAATCAATTGATTTCTCTCCCAATTAATATGCATCATCCTTTTCCCTAATTTGGATGGTAATGCTGAACCAGCAGACCTATTGAAGATTATAGCACCGAGTAGTTTAACTGTAATTTCTGTTGTATTTGGCAATTCATGTAAGTTTAAAAACTGCAGCAATGAAAGCACATTAATATGTGATCATCCAATACAAGTAATAGCACTACAAGGAAGTAGCCATTACCCAAATAACAAACGGCAGTTGTAATCTGGATCTTCAGCTTTATAATTAATAGAAGTGGCTCCTGGTATGAGAATAATGGTTCCATCACTAGTTTGCCTGTACCAGGTATAAATGCTTGACCCCTCAATTCCACCATAATATTGGCCTTCTCCTTGGTACATTTCTGAACCAAGGTACTTCATGCATACATTGGAAACAACTGGAAGTGCTGCATGATTAAGAAAACAAGAAAATTTAAGAAAACAGAATTCAAAAGAGACTAGAAAGAAGAAGTATATCTATCAAATGAATGACCTGCCATGACAGGATTGCTGCCAACGGAAATTACTGGAGAACCTCGTTTCCCATCATCACGTGTAGGTACCCAATTAAGCATCAAATAAGAGCCAACGTCTTCGAGTGTGGGCGTATACGTCCTTTTTTTCAACAAATTCATTCGAAAAAAAAAAGGTTATTAGAGCGAGACAGCTAAGAGCAGAATTAACCAAACTACTGAACATGAGAGCTTACATATTCGTTCCAACAACTACGAAGTCCCCGGTAGCACCAGTCACATTCAACATGTTTAATTCGTCAGGTTTACACCTCGTTCTATACCAAACATACTCCGCGTTACCTTCCTTTCCACCATAATAGGATTTAAGAGGAATAATCTCCTCATCCTCAAGGCAGTCAGGAATAACAAGCTCAATACCCTTGGGATCCGCTGTAAAGCAGCAATAAAAAAGTATCAGCATTAATTAAAACAATAGGAAATATCCATCTAGGATTTGATGCATGACTACTAGAAAGTTGAAATTAAACTATCCATCCAAAAAATTCAGAGCAGCATGAATAAGAATGTAGGTTCATTCTGAAAGGGAGAACATTAGAATGTGTTTGTCGGTTACTAAATAGGACGCAATGGAAAAAAAAGATTCATGCAGCCGACCCCACTTAGTGGGATAAAGGTTTTGTTGTTGTTATTGTTGTTGTTGGTTACTTAAACACCAACAACGGGTACAAGCAACACAAGAAGTTATCATCAATGGAATATTTTGTGACCTCTTTTGACGGTAAGAATGGTAAAACAGAAAAAATAAAATCACTAATTTATGTTAAAAAAAATTCCCAATAAAGAGCATCAATCATCTACAAGCCTGATCTCCCAAAAGACATTCTTTAATCTACCTTAAGAAATATTCCTAAAAATACTTTAGAAAACATCCTTACCAGTAGAATAAGATGATTCAGACGAATAACTCTACTCAACAAACCAAGCTCCAATTTCAAGGCCTAAGCATGTCTGAGAGTCCAAACTGAATACTAAACTCATTTCATCTTCCTTCCTAGAAAATTATTTTCATGCCGATATAGAGCCTGTAAGATTTTCTTCCTATTTATGTTTTACATAAACATTGATTGAGACATGTCTATTTTTCATATATCCTAAAAATGATTGAAATTACTTTTATAAAATTCTACATTTCATTTCAATTATTTTGATATATAGACCAGTAAACATAAAAAACTAATCATAATAGCAATTATTAGTTCATTTCTCATTAAAATTATTTTTTCAAGTTTTTATTAAATTTACAGCTCACATAATCAATTAATACTACAGCAGGCAGTTATTTGGACTATAAAGACGTCAAAATAACTTACATAGTTACTTATCCATCCACCTAAAATCCATATCCATCTAGTACCCATTCATTCTCCTTTTAAAAACCAACATGTAACTCGCTTTAGCGGAAAACCGAATAGTACTGGCAAGAACATTTACAGAAATAAAAACAGATGGGAACGAAAAAGAGACGAAGAAAAAGTAATGAAAAAGAAGAAAGAAGAAGAAAAGAGAGATGAAGAGAATGAGAAGAAGAGTTGGAGAGATAGGGGAGCAGCTCGGTAAGGAAAAATAGAAAAGAAAAATAGAAAAGGGAAGAAAAAGAAAGAAGAAGAAAGAAGAAGAAAAAAGAAGAAAATTTGAAATAAGAAAAAAAAAAAAAAGAGAGAAAAAGAAAATACAAAAAAAGAAAGAAGAAGAAAGAAGAAGAAAATTTGAAATAAGAAAAATAAAAAAGAGAGAAAAAGAAAATACAAAACAAAAGAGAAGAGAACTAAGAAAAAAAAAGAGAGTAATTCAAGTTAACAACCCGGCTCAGAAGTTTAGAATTAATAAGACGGGAATGAATGACCAGATAGTAGTTACACCAGCCTTACTTTTACAACAATCCAAAGCATTATCCAAATAGTCAAAAAGCCACTAACTATCAATACTTCTAAAACACTTACAAAATTTTCAGATTGTAACAATAACTTTTAATAGGAACTTAAAATAAAATATATTGTTTTTCTGATACCTATTTTTATTATCCCGTCTTCTTTTTCTCCATAACATCAATATTAATCTTTGTCAATATCATCTAATCATAAAAGTAAAAAAGCTATTTCTAAACCATAAAAAAGTGCTACACCACAAGAGCACTTAGATCGAACAACATATTACATGGCAGGAGCAACAATTTGAATCTATAGAAATTACCTCTAGAATTCTATCCACCTGGAAGATGATATCTGGCTAAGAAAACAGTGAAAATAATAGAAGATGTATATGATGTTTTCAATTTAAATTTACATAATATAATGATAGAAAAATTTAATAGAGGAATCACAATAAGTTAATTAATTAAAATCAAAATGAAAATGATGTAGTTATATTCTATATTAATAATGATAATAATATATTTAGATATGATATTAAGTTAAAAGTTCATTTAGAAATATATAGATTGTGATGTAAAAGAAATAAAATTGAGAAAAACCATAATTAATTAATATGATTAATAAGATAAGAATTATTTGTATATAGAAATAATAAGACTTACTTATTGCTTCAAATTAAGTAGTTTAAAATTAATAAACTAAAGAAATAAAATACTCATGTAGTCATTTAATTAAATCATTCACATAGAAAAGATATATTAAAGCTAATTTCAATTTAAATTTTTAAAAAAGTAGTTAAAAAATTTTATTAGAAAAAAAAGAAATAATAAAGTCTTGGCTTGTTAAACTAAATTCAGATTAAGCATAGAAAGTTTCTTTTAAGAAAAAAAAATCAGGTTATTTTATTAACTAGGTAAATGAAAGAGTATAACAAAGGCATTTAACAAAAATAGCTGATTAAAAAGAGAAGTACAACAGGATAATATAAAATAATTTGAATCATCTACCTTGAAGTGTAGTGAACATTAGAGAGTAATAATAGAATTTTTTCTAATTTCTATCCCTTCCAATATGAAGAATATCATATCTTTTATCTGTTAGGGAGTCAACACTATAAATCCTCCATTGAGAATCAGAATCCCGTTCTAATAAATGACTGTCATTTTGTTCACAAATTGGAAGATACCGGAGTTAACCCAAACAACAAGAAAATAAAACATTATGGTTGAATTAAAAATAGGGAGATACAATCTCACAAACTGAAAAAGAAATAGTAAAAGTCACGACACACGACTAGGGTGAATCTTAGGTGATGGTGGTGTTAGCCGCTAGGGGCTCCAAAAAAATGGCGGCAAATTGGGGAAGGTGCGGGACTGCACAGTCACGACACACGACTAGGGTGAATCTTAGGTGCTGGTGGTGTTAGCCGCTAGGGGCTCCAAAATGGCGGCAAATTGGGGAAGGTGCGGGACTGCAAGGAATTAGTGGCAAGACAATGTCAACTTGCTGTCATGTGCCACAACGAACCAGGATAGTTGGAAAAGATAGGAAATCAACAAAAATAGGCTATCATGGGGCGTGGGGATGAGGGGTAACAACAACGAGCTTCTAGAGGCGGTAGTGGGTGTGGGAGGGCAGATTTGCAATGTTTCTATTTACGGAGAGGGGAAGCGAAGAATCATGGAAGTGGAAGGGAAGGGATCGAGCCAAATGAAACGAAAGAGGGAGAAGAAACGAGAACATCGAGAAGTCGAAGAGAGGAAGAGGGAATGAATAATCGAACAGGGAGGTAGATGAGGCGAAGAATCGGGGAAACTGAGAATGAGGCCTATAACAGGGGCATGAGGGGTGGAGAGGGAGACTGGCTTGAAAATATTTGAAGATAATTCAAGATCTGCGTCCACCACAGTTTAAGAGAACTGAAGACCCAATTGAAGCAGAGAACTGGTTAGTGAGAATAGAGAAAATACCAGATAGTATGACATCTCCAGATGAAAGAAAGAGTACCGTTAGCAAAGTTTGTGCTAGAAGGAGAAGCCGAAAGGTGGTGGTGTGAGCAGCATCAGGACAGGTTAGGGGACATACATAACACGATGGTTAGTTGAGAGAAATTCGTGAAGTTGTTCAGAGAATGATTTGTACTCTTATCTGCTCGACGACAGATGCAGGACCGGTACATCAAGTTGAGGAAGGAGAGAAGACAATTATGCAGTATGAAGCAGAATTCACTCCACTGTGAAAGTATGCACCACAGTTGATTGCTACAGCAGAAGAAAAGTGTTACAGAATCCTTTCGAGATTAAAATATCTAGCTAGAAGGGTGGAGATCATTTATCAGCTCACTCAGAAGTGTAAGGAGATGCACAAGAGGAAGACTGCAGAAAAACATGTGGATCACTCAGAAGGGTCCAATGAGAAGAAGTCCAAGAATAATTCAAGCAGAGTTAAGAGAGGTATGCTCAAGGTATTGCAGTCACTTGTACTAGATGCAGAAGAGAACATAAAGGTGAATGCTAGATGAGTTATAACACTTGTTATTGGTGTCGTCAGCCTATCACTTAGCCAGAAGAACACTGAAGAACAAAAATCAGGTGGAACTCTTTCACAAAAGTCAGTAGGCAGGCAAAAAAAAAAAATTCAATAGCCTCAGCTCCTACATAGGTCAATCAAGACAACCGGTTCAACCTCGGGTATATTCCCTTACTCAAAGTTAGCATGAAGAACCTACTGCTGTTGAAGGTGATGAGGTCTGATGAGTTTGGTGTTTTTCCTAGCATGCTTCCTTGTTTCAGTGAATGTGTACTGTAATCCGAAGTATAGTTGAGTCACCTTGTATCGAGTCTTAATCTTTATAGTGATGAGTTTTCATGAATGAATCAATAGCTAATGTTGAATTGCTTAAAGTTTGTTTATAAATTTTGAGGATGAAATTTTCATATGTAGGAAGATTGTAACGGTTCTATTTATGGGGAGGGGAAGCAAAGAATCAGGGAAGTGGAAGGGGAGGGGTCGAGGCGAATGAAACAGAGTGGGGAGAAGAAATGAGAAGATTGAGAAGTCGAAGAGAGGAAAAGGGAACGAAAAGTTAATCAGGGAGCAAGATGAGGCGAGGAAACGGGAAACCAAAGGTTACTTCAAACTATAAGTGGGTGGTATAAGCATGTTTGGATCTATACATGTAGTATGGTGTTCTTCATCAGTAATTGTGGTGTTGGAAAGAGGATCGGGTTGCACCTTCTCAGCAGGGATGGTAGGTGGCGGATCTTTAGCGATATCCGACCTTAGATGAGGATGCAAGAAATAACAAATAGTAAAACAATGACCAAACATACTACAATGAGAGCAATAAGGAGGGTGTTGTTCTATTTCAACATTTTGGCAATACTCGTTGTGAGTAATTCCAATCCATACATCATCCGAAGCTGGTTGAGTGATATCTCTTCTAACTACCACCCAACAGAGTCTGGTGACAACAAGCGCAAGACTATTAACCTTGAG